AGGATTGGAAAATCCTCCATGACAGCGGAGGGGGAATGATTTCCGGGTCACGAGAGGAGAAGGGAAGAGAAAGAGAAATCTGTTCTCGCCACCAGTCAAATGTGGGTTAATTAAAAATCAACAAACTTGAATGTATAGACACTGTTTACGTGTGTGTAGTTGACTTAAGTTATTTGTTGATGGCTAAATGGGCAGATGGATGGATGAAATGATGGATTTACTGACTGATTGCTACCTGTCACTTTGTGCCTGTTGCGTAGCTCCTCCAGCTCTTGGCTCAGCTGCCTGATGTGATTGCTCAGACTCTGCTTCTCCCTGACGGCACTCCTCATCTTCTCCTCCCCCTGCTGCAACTCTTCCTGAAGTCTCTGCACCTCTCCTCTGTGCGCATCCACCTCACCGCCTCTCCTCGCTGCCTCTCGTCTGGCCTCCTTCAGCTCCTCTTCTGACTGTCTGAGAAGTGCCACATGTACCTGTAGCCAAAGTAAACAGTGAATAAGTGACTGTGTTTATCGCGCGCGCAAACCTGTGGCCTTTGTGGCCCCTGTTCAGATCAAGTATCTTGCGAGATTGCCTCTAAGATGCACTTCACACTTGGGATAAAAGGGAGCCTAAAATGTGTATTGAGTGACAAGTTATGATTTGATTTGGCTTCCCCGCTTACATTTGCTTTTACCCAAGGAAAACCTTGACGGAAACCTAAAAGAAAAAATAAATAATAAATACATATTTGCCTCGGTCATACAGCAAAAGAAACAAAGGCGGTGGACATTTGGCGGCTCGCCGTAGACGCAAACTTTAAAATCTTGTCTTTGCTGTTTGACACAGGCAAATTAATTGTGTTAAAGGGTTCAGGGGGCCTACAGTAGTCGACTCTGCATATTGAAAACTTATAAGAAAGTCCTTCACAGCAGTTACGGGTGGATTTATGATCACACATCACATACTGCACTGTACAAGATGTAGCCACGTGTCCCTGAGTTTACACAGATATTAAGACTTGATCTCAGTGAGCGTGACATGTCTATCACTTGTATGTGCCAGGGGACGCACAAATTAATGTGTAAAATCAAATGTTCCCACTTGCACCTACGCATACAAGACCACACACACACACACACACACACACACACACACACACATGAATGATGTGACTATGACTGCCAGCAATGTTGGCACTCTGCCAGGCTAGAGTCACCACTTTGAGTAATTTGAATATTTAGTGTCCCATTGAGCTCTTAATTGGAGTCAATTTCACCAGCCTTGGCACGTTTGGTGCTTTAATTAATGGCGAGGCAATTTGTATCTGCCAGGCAATCACGGGACAATCGCACGAGTGGTGGGTGTGTGCGGTTGCCAGTGGAGGTGGTTTGAGTACTCTTCTTTGGGATCTTGAATTGAATCTCCAGCTCTTAGCCTGAGGCGCATGCATCGGCAACAATTTAAGACAGTGGCTGAGGCGTCTTCAAATTCAAAAGGAGAGGGGGAAAAGGTCAAAATAATATGGCTGTCTTTAAATTAGAGGACAGGTCAGCAGATACGCATCACTTTAATACCTTTTGGGTGTCCGCCAGCTCGACTTCTAAGCGTGTAACTTCCTTTTTCAGATGCATCGCTTCCTGTTCCAGCTGGCTGCGATCGCTCATGTGTGTGTGACGGGACGCAACAAGACTTTGCCTCAGACCTGCTTTTTCCTGGGCTCTGGAGGACGGAGAGCAAAGAGTGACTGCTGTGTGAGGAATGCGTGGTGCTCCTGAACACAGTGACAGAACCAAAAAGAAGTCTGCAACAAAAAAAAAAAAAAATCAAACCAGATAACAGATAAGCTAAAGGAAACGAAATGATTTGACTAGATTATGTTAAATTATCCATGTGACATATAGTGTGCCACTGTGTGCCATTTGGCGAGTAGACTGTTAAGAGAATGAGAGAGAGGAGGGGGCGGAGGCAGATGGGAAGGGCACGAGAGGAGAGACAAGGACAGGAACCGGGATCAGCAGAGGAGAATGAGAGTTTTATAGACTCGGTTATTACTGTCTCTCCAGCTCTGACTTCATCTGAAGAATAGCCTTTTCACACTCCGCAAGGCGCTCAACCTGCTCGGTGCAGCGCTGAAACACACACATGCAGATACACACACACACACACACACACGAACAATGTGAGTGCTGGAATGTTGCTTTGTTTTTTTGTCAGTGTAAACCTGAAACTAACTTTAAGTCTAACTCTGAATACTGTTTATTTTTGAATACAGCGGGAATGTTGACAATAGTCAGCACTGAATGTCACCGTAAGTACAGGACATATTGTAATGGTTTAATGGGATGAAAATATGTACATCTATAATGTGTAGCCTTAGCGTGTAGGAGAGTACAATGTATGACCTTACCTTTTGTAGCTGCTGTCTATGTCTTAGCAGGCTGAGGTATTCCTCGTCAGAATAAGAATGACTCTTTTGATAGAGCTGTAGGTCGCACTCCAACATCAGTTTCTATGTGTACAGAAAGCAAGAATAGACGGTAATATTTCAACAAATATTCACATCAACATATTTAATTATGACTTATTTTTTGGCAGGCTTTAGTCAATCATACACCAAAAAATGTAACCACCAAAATGCACACAGGAAGTGATCCTACACAGAATCAAAGAAGACTCAAAAGGATGCATTCGTAATGAATTTGAAATTGCATTTTAACCCATTATATGCATTTTGGTTTCGTAATAAATGACGACACTGTTGTGCCAATGCAGAAACACATTGTTATGTATTAGAAACATTTGTGACTTGATTTGTTGCATCGCAGAGCACAGAGACACATCGGCCTTGACGTTCCGAGCACAGGTGACAAACTCCAACAAAGCTAACATAACAATAAAAGTTGAATCTAGCGTGAGAAGCTCCGATAGGCGTTTTTTTGGACAAGAGGAACTTTTACAAATTTCTGAGAAGCCCCTTTTTATTGCGTCTGCACCGGAAGAACTAGGAACAATCATATATCTTAGAATGGCTTTTCAGGTACTGCTTCAGCTCCTATGTCAGAGTGGGTACTCTCCGAGCCATTTTTAAAATCCTGTTAGCAATGTTAACAACAGACAACACACAAAAAGGACTTGTGATGAAAAAAATGGAAGAAAAATGGACAAATGGGCCGATAGCGAAGTCCAAGCTTTACGGAGCATACATGCGACACAGGAAATACAACGCAATTTTGATTTGTCCAAGAAAAATAGGCCTAGATCAGCTTATGTCACTTCAGGATTCCTATTCGGGGTGAAAATGCAAACAGAAAAAAGCCCTTAAAGCTATGCAGATTTCGGGGGAGTCCCCAGAACTGTTTGGTCTTAAAGCGCCTCATAGGTACCTAAAGGTCTAAGCAATGTCCTCTTACTTACAAAGGAGTACCTCCTTAGAATAAAAGACCTTGTAGCTCATTGTGTTTTCTAAATCTGTTGCTGAATGTATCACCCCCCTAAATCTTAGTCTATTAACTGCTGTCCTTTATATAGGCAAATTATGCGACTAATTCAAAAGAAGAAAGAAGAAATTGTACTTGTCTTAAAGAATTCATCTTTACGTTATAGTGAAATATTCCCTGGTCAGAATACAAATGCACCAGAGTAGAGATAGCATTAAGATACTTCCCTGTGTAAGTGACGCTTCTTTTTCCAGTTGTGCTGCAATATAAAATGCTATAACTTGCACAATGATTTTATATTAATTTTTTAAAAAAAATTAAAAAGTAATTCACTTTTTCTTTCAACTGAGATTTTCTTGTAAACAGGAAATGAAGACATTAGTGATTTTAGGGTTAGCCAAGCCCAACAGTGGCACGAGGTAGAGAATTAGCAGGACGTGAAGCTCCACAAGAACTCCTAACCTCTTGATAGGCGCCTCACAATCAAAGTCATTAGCCAGTGTAATAAAGGGCCTGAGATACAGCCATTCTTCAACAGCCTAACTCTTTTATAACCAACAGATTAAAGTTGATTGGATTAAAATGACATTCTGCCCGTCTGACCTTGGCGGCAGCAGTTAAGTTCATCCAAATTAAATTTCTCCGTAATAAAGATGATTCATTTGTTGCCTGACGTAGTAAATATAAAACAGAAAGAAAAAGGAGAAAAGATTAAGTGACACACGCCGGTGCACACATGCACAAACGCACACTTGTACACACATGCGTGCGATGACACGCGCACACAAAGGCCCATGCATGCCCTCACACAACACTGATGGAGCTGCCAAGCACCTGGGAGAGCTCACGCAAGAATTCAGACACCCATTTAACGTCACGCTGGTAATCCTGATCTTCTTGGTTGAGAACTCAGGTGAGGTCATGTGAAAGCTGCATCCTTAAAGAATACATACAACCACTGTCAAACTGAAACAGTATTTGTTTCTTATTCTGAAATGAAAGACTGCCCCCAGTGGTGACTAGTCCGGTTATGTTACCTGCGTATGTTTCCACTGATCATCTTCAAAGCAGCTTCATTGATTGTTACATAAAAATATTACAAGGATGGTGTATATTGCCACGGGTGGATTATGAGACAATGGGCCCCTGGGCACAGACATGCAAAGAGCCCTACCATCTCTTTAACATGGGAGCCAGACACAGATGTTGTGGTAGCTTGGCCTCTGTTTGCATTTCTTTGTAGTTGCTCCACATTTTCTTGTGGTTTTGTATCTGTTTGAGATCATTTGTGTTGATGTTTGTTCTTCTTTGTAGTCATTTAGTGTGTCATTGTGGTTGTTTTGTCCCTTTTTGTAGTTATTTTGTGTCTCTTCGCAGTTCCTTTCAACCTCTTTGTCCTCTTTTTGAGGTCATTTTGAGGTTCTTCCTGGTCAGTACATGTTCATTTCAGTGAAACTTTGCAGGTGAAGGCCAAGTGAAACTTTGGACCCCTGGGCCTGTGCCTCGTAGGCCTGTCCCGTAATCCATCCATGTGTATTTGTGTCTGAATTTGTGCCTGTGTCATTGTTGTGTCTACCTGTGCTACTGTAAGTTTGTCCTGACCTGCTGTTTGAGTGTGTCCACTTGCTCCTGCAGGGATCCAACCAGGCCTTTCATATGGTCCACTTTCTGCTGGCTCTCCCTCAGTAGATTCTGACTGGTTTGGAGCTCATCCATCAACTGGTCGAGAGCCTCCTGCGAGTTCTCCCACTGGCCAACCTTTTCCTGGTAGCGCTGCTCCATCTCAGCTAGGTCTTCCTTCACTGAATGTGTTGCTAACCGGGACTCTCTTAGCTGCCGATTAAACATAAGGTAATGGCAGATCACAGGATTGCAATGAAAACTGTACAATATGAATGTAGAATAGGTGTTGAGTTGATAAAATCTCCTTAGAGGTGCAGAGCAAGTAAACTGCAATAATGGTAATATGCTGTATTACTGGAAACTATGATCTACCTGCTGCTGTGAATACTGTAGCTCCTCTTCCAAAAGCTCCACCTGCCCTTGCACCCTATGCACCTTCTCTATTGCTGCTGTGTACTTTTGTCTAAATATGGCTACTGTTTCTTTCTGCTCCTGGGCTTGTAAACTGGCATCCTCCAGCTCCTCCTTGGCTACTTTCAGCTGCTGATGGAGAAGTTCCATCTCAACCTCCTGCTTCTTCAGCTTCCCGTCAAATGTCTCGACCTGAAAGCAAACGCGGTGAAATGGAAATGGTGATGAGAATAGACCTCGGCTCTTTGTTTAAGCGGAACAACTGTAGCCTGAAGGTTTGGTCGAGTGACCGAACCTCTGTTATATTTTAAAGGAGTGTAGGATTTTGACTCCCCTCATGTATAGGTGCTCTCGAGAACATCGACTGAACAGCTGCCAAGTGTGAAAGTGTGGAGAGCTGCTGATTTAATGTGTTGCAAGTTACTGACAAACAAAGCGGTAGAAAGACTCAACATATGCACGAATACAGAAGACCAAAGAAACTTAGAGGCATGCAGAAACTTTTACACTGACAAAAACCATCATCATCATAATGCTACACAATCAGGATACAGTGTACTTGACACTTGACGCTAGTTTGTCTGACACGGTGCAGTATAATGTGCTGCTCTACAGTAACCTCGCTCATAATGAAAGGGGAACCCAGGAAGTGAAACCAGGCTTAATCCCGGTGTTACACAAGGAATCCTACCGTAGCTCACCTTTCAAGGGGAGAGGTTGAGAAAGTTAAACCCGCTCTAACACTCATCTTGAGTTCATCCACGTTAATCCCGCTGTAATCTGGATCAGAACACGAGGGTTTACAACTAATGACAGCCAACTAGTTAGATTTCAGGGGTTCGCCACAGCTCGGTTTAACCAGGGATTAGCTGGGCCCATCTAGGACTAACACTGGGTGAAAAACTTGCTCGTGCAAAAGAGAGGAGAGGAGAGGAGAGGAGAGGAGAGGAGAGGAGAGGAGGGCGCCATCAACACCCATTCTCTACTTTAGAGTCAAAAACTGAACAACCTGTGTAGGTGTATGCGTGCGTGTGTGTGGACTGTTTAAAACCATTGACTCAGCCCATGCACACTCGACTTTATTCGAGTGTGATGGTGAATGCTTTACCCAAGGTTACCCAAGGTAACAGTTTTAAAGTCCCATTGTGAAACACACACACACACACACACACACACACACACACACACGATATAAAGTAAGGTGTCACATGCCAACTTTACCTATTAAAGCTTCATGTGTTAACTTGTTCTGTCATAGTATTTCCTTCCCTTTCATGTGTCCACTACCCAACAGTCCAACCACTAATGGTGGATTTAGCATTTCATTCCGTCTCTGGATGAAAGGCCTTGTAACAAGGCTTAATGGGAACACCATGGCTTTCTTGTGACCATAATCAGGAGCTTGTGCTCCATGGAAACAAACGGCCCTCATTAAGTATGATAAAAAGAACATCGCTTTGACCCTCATTTGGCCTGCTGTTTGGGTATTCATTGCCGTCACATGACTTCCCAAGATGACCCTCAGCTGATAGTAACTTTATTCTCGTCGTCTTCTTTTTTAATCTCTGTGTCGATCTTCTCCCCTCTGTATTCATGTTTGGGTCTGATTGGACTGACAAACAAAGGGGTCATCTTGTCTTGTTTGGTAATTCAGATGATGTTTATGGGGATATATGTAAGTAAACTGCGAAATGAAGCTTGTCAGTTGCAAACGGGCCAGTTTGCTGTTCTTAGCAAAAGACTGACTTGATTGTCCACTGTCATTTAGATGACTCGCACTCAAACACGTAAGTGCATCTGATTTTTATTTTTATTTTGTTCACTGGATTAACACCAGAGATTGTTTTTCTGTAGGATCAAGGATCTGATTGACAGCTGAATGCACAATAGATTTGCCTTCTCTGCAGCTATGTGCTGCTGACTTAAACTGTCCTTGAGCTCTGTGACCTCCGACTCTCAGTCCTTCAGCCTGCTCCAGATTTGGCTGAGCTAAGAGCCATTCTGCTTCAACTGGCTGTGAAGCAGGACGCTCCTCAGTGAGTCTGTCTCACCGCTTCCAGGTCAGAGTTCAACTGATCTATAGATCCCCCTGTAGGGGCAGTGGAGACAAGCGAAGGTGAAGAGGAGAAGAGGGAATTCTTCCTTACCTGTTGCTGACCAATACGGAGCTGATCATGCAGCTGCTGCTGTTCTTTCTCCTTCTGGTCTTTAAGGCGCTCGATATCTCTGACCTTCTCGCTAAACTGACGGGCCTCTTCCTGGTGTCCTCTAACTGCGTGTTTCAAGTGTCTCACCTCACCCTCCAGTGCTGCCACCTGAGCAAGAGGAAAGAGAGGGAAAGGGATAACTTAATGCAGGCATACAAAGAACACACAGACAGACAGAAAAGACAGCGAGGGGGCGGCAGTAGCCTAAAAGTGAGGGAATCGGGCTTGAGTCAGAGAGTTTCCCAGTTTAGTCTCAGGACCAGTTGGGAAAATGTGGGCACGGCAGACATGAATGAGTAACGATTCCCCTTTCCTTAGCTCCAACTTTCGAGGAGCCTTTGAGCAAGGTGCTATGCCTCCCACTGCTCTAATGGAGCTGCTCAGTAGCCAACTGTAGAAGACTGCTGCTGGTTTGGGCACTTCCCTTGAGTGGATGTGTGCAACTCTGTGGGTGTAAAACAGGTCATTGTTGGAGGAAAAAAAAAAACACAGGGGTGCTCACTCAACCTAGCCTCAGCATATGAAAGGAAAAACCAAAAAAGACAGGTTTAAAACCCTTGTAGTACTACCTAGCACTGGATATAAGCCCTGAGACAAATTTAAAATCCAAAAAATGGAATAAAATCTTGAACCTTTTTCTCATGTAACACAGCTGGAAGATGCAAAATTAGGGATATTAAAAGAGACAGGTATGATCTTTTATAAACTATACAAAATTAGAACATGAAAATATGCACAAAAAAACTGAAACCAAACAATAACAAAACACAGAGAACTCATAATAAGGACATGAATGAATATAAATGATAGGCAAAGCTCAAATCAACATACAGACACAAACAATGCACCACACCTGCTCCTGTGTCCTTTGATGCTTCTGTTCAGCTGTCTTCATCTCAGATCTTAACTGCAGAATCAACTGATCTCTGCTCCGAACCTGAACACACAGATAATACACTTCAAAGTAAGCACCAATAAATTGTGTATGCTGGCATTTTAGCCTTTATTATGTTCCTTTAGTTAAATATTTGGTTGACAACATTTTGCTCTGACCTACGTATGTATGTGCACACACAAACACATGAACAAAAAGACATAGAGATGGACCTCCAGGTGTGAGGTGTGGAGTTTCTCATGGCTCAGAGCCAAGTCAGCCTCCAGTCTCTCTTTGGTCTGGTTGAGGTGGACAAGCTCTCTGCTCCCGTCCTCCATCTTGGCTCTCAGCTCATCCCTCTCCCCGCGCAGTTTCTCCGTAGCCTCTTCTCGTCGGAGCAACTGGGAAACATGCAATAAAATTGAGCCGCTCAATCACGAAGTACTTCCCAACACCCACATTGGGACGATGAAAAAAAATATTCAACTTTAAATAACACCCGTGCATGCGAAGGTAATAAAATATCAATTAGAGGATCACTAAACCCACTCAGCATTATCTAATGTGCAACACACAAAGGCTTAATTAAGCTGATTCTAAAAATGTTCAGCATTTCTTTGACAGCGGAATCAACAATTAAATGTTCCTTCTAACACAGTTAACATTAATATGAATCATGAGCAAAATACTTTTCAATCATCATTTGGGTGAATAATGAAGATGTTGTTTTAACCTCTTTCTGACATTCAGAGTGCTGCTTTTTAGTCTCTGCGAGCTCCTTCACCAGTGTGCACATCTTAATCTCCCTCTTCTGAACCTGGAAAACAAAAGCACATTTTTCAGGATTCAAGGATGTTGGATGATGCTTTTTTTAATTGCAGAGTGGATGCTCTTTTTGATCAAGCTTTGACGATTTAACATGATGTTAAGGATCACATCTCCTTGAATCACTGCCAACACAAACTGTATCTCAGGAAGCAGGGGAACTTAGGTCACTGTTTACAAAACTTGAGATAAAATATTCCAGTCTTGTTTTCATACTTGTGTTTAAAGCCACGGCGGTGGTGGGTGGATGACGTTTGTTTATGCTTCTCTTGAGTATACAGTATGTCTGACAATTGCTTGTGTTTGTCTGTTTCCTTGGTGACCTTCCCTAATTACCCTCTTCAGTTCTACGCCAAATGCGTGTGTGTGCGCACGTCTGCACGTGCTTGCATGTGGGTGTGATACCTCACAAGTTTGCTGGGAAAATGTTTTGGATTTTTTTTCTTATCTCTTCTGTCTGTGTTCACTGAGTCTGTGCTTTCTCACAGTTTTGCTCTGTTTGAGGTCAGTCAGAATGGCCAGGTATCTGCCACTATGTGCTGTCTATTTTGAGTTGAACAGGTTTCTGATATATTTTGGGATATTTTTGTGAGCACTTATCTGACAATTTTTTTTCTTAAGATGCTGAGACGTTCCTTTAAGCTTCGACAGGTTGAAGAGAGGAAATCCCTTGACTCAGGGCACTGAACTGTTGTAACATACAGGATATATACTGAATAAATGAGGATAAGACCGACTCCACAACCTAAAAACAGAAGTTTAAATCTAATTTTCACTGTACATTTATCACTTGTATAAACATGTGATGGAGACATAGCTGTGTCTCAAAATGACTAGCAAATGAGTGTGTTCATACTAAGAAGTAAGGCAAAATGCAGTGCACTATAAGTACCCAGATGGTGCACTCATAATGATCAAAAAGCTGAGTGTGAAATGTTGAACACTTCTGACCGTCCATGGTTGCCATGTTGCCCATGTAGCAGAAAGGGCAGGACCACAAACAAATTTCAGACTTGTAAAATTTTGACTAACTCGCATGGTGAACACTGAAGCATTGTACAAACATGCATGTGTACGAATATACTGTCATCGGAAATGATCCGTCAGTTTGTTTATTGGGGTCATTCTATATAATTTGTTACGGCAGACAATAACATGAATGCTGACATCTGCTCACTAGCTAGCTACTAGTTACATCGGGCATTAACGTTTCATGTGTTGTTGCGAAATATATATAATTGTTTGGCATAAATTACATTTGGTGTTTATTCATATTAAATTGTCATCTTCACTGTAGAAGATTTTAGTAGATCTGTCAGGTATACTTGACAGGTTGTAAATATACTTAATGTGGTACTGCAAACAACAACATGGATGCTAATGTTAGCTTGCTAGCTAGCTACTAGTTATATCGGACATTGATGTTACATGCATTGTGGCGGAAATTCTAAGGACGATGGCATGAATTTTCGGTGTTTGGCGCATGTTAAATTGTTGTCTTCACTGTAGAAGATTTTAGCAAATGTGTGGTGAGGTATTTGACAAGTTGTAAATATACGTAATTTGGTACAACAAACGATAACATGAATGCTAACATTTGCTTGCCAGCTAGCTACTGGTTATAATCGGGCACTGGCGTTACATCTGTTGAGGCGGAAGTTATTAACTGATTGGCATAAATTACGTTTGGTGTTTATTCATATCAAATTGTCATCTTCACTGTAGAAAATTTTTGTAGATTTGTGGTCAGGTGCTTGACAAGTTGTAACGATTCGTAAAATTCAATAGATCAGCTGGTCATAGAGTAAGCCAGTATCAGCCACGGACATTCATATAAATAGAGACGTGCCATGAGAGCACATTCATTTTTAGACACAATAAATAAATAAATAAATACAGAAGATGCTAAGTGAGCAAACAAGCAGATACAGCAAGCATATGTTTTGGTGAGTGACAATTGTTCATCAAATGTTGGGCTGCATTTCACCGCACAGAAGACGAAAAGCTGACAGATCTTGGGATGGTCATTTCCATTAAGTGCACAATGTCTGCGTTTGATTTGAGACAAAACTACCATGTAAAAATTTGCAAACTATGCACGGTGTAGCACATGTACTAACAGAAGTACCCAATTTCAGACACAGCAATAGTCTTTGGATTTATATATACACACAGTCCTTCATGCTTGCTCTCTCTTCCTCCATCCCTCCCCACCTCCTGTCCTTCCTGCATGATCCAGGGATTGTTTTGACCAGAGTTGAGGGCTCGTTTGTAACTGTCCTGGGGGATTGATGGAGTTAACTTGGCTCTTTGACCTCTCACCTCTGGCTGTCAGCGGCCAGCCTCGCTAGACACACTAAACCTGAGCTATGGCGAAGGGGCGGGGGGGGGGACTGTATGCACACTGCTATGCACGTAGCAGCTACATCATGCTCATGTAAACACACAAAGACTTTTTTAAATAGGTAATGCCCTGGACGTTTTGCATTCAGCGGACATCAGGTTAAATAGAACAAAAAAGATTGCGAGCATTAATTTAATGTTCCATATACAAGTCATTCCACTTAACCACAGCAAACACAACACTTACTTCCTGCCAATTTTTACATCTTAGCTTGATTTATCTTTGTATGTGTGTGTGTGTGTATGTGTGTATGTGTGTGTGTGCACGTGAATTCCCAATGTGAGCGTGTGATAGGCAAAATGAATGTTGATAAACACCGGAGGATGTCGTGTCAAAACAGACAACTTGTCAACACGACACGCTAACTAGGTCAATCACAAAGTTTAAGGAGAAACTTTGGAGTGGAGCTTTGGTTTATGCATATCTCTACGTGGATGTCTATGCGTGTGTGTGATAAGCTTCTGAACGAATCTGCGGGAGGGGACCTCCAATATCGAAGGTATTTTTAAATCAATGAGCTCTTAAGTGTATCTCAGTCTCAATGTGTTCACACACTTGCACGCACACAACACTCAGCGCAGATAGAATCCCTACTGACAGGCAATGACAAGATAAAGAGAGGGAGAAATAAGGGGGGAGAGGACGACAGGAGGGGGAGAAATAATATTTGAACAGTTGGGGGTGGGGGTGTGGTGACGGGGGGATGAAAGGGAGAAGTGGCAAGGCAAGAAAAGAAATGAGCAATAAGAGAGATCAAGAGAGAACGCAGGGAGAGAGAAAAATCAGTCAGCTATTCTGATGGTTGTAAAGCATTGTGAGCAGGACCAATGTTTGTCCAAATCCAACCTTGAAGGCTTGAACAACCTTCCACAATACTGCTTACCTTCCACTGTTCCGCTCTCTCTGTCTCCTTTCAGTCTTGTTTGCTCTTCCTCCCCATCAGCCCCCCCTTAGTCCATTTCAAATAATATGCAATTTCTTATATTCAATGTGCTTTACAGAAGAACTATGAGTGTATACTTTTTCAAACTGGAATCCCAGTGGGGGAGCTGGAGACACACTGTGCCGGAGTGTTAACAATAAACAAAATGATTGGACATCACACATTGAACTAACGTTCGCAGATCTTGTTTCCGTGCAGCATCTGCAAGCGCATAGAATTGAAAATGAGTAACACAACAAGCTCTCACGCCACAGTAAAATGGAACAAAAATGCTCAATACTTCCAGTATTTTTTTTTTTTGTGTGTGTGTGAATGGTCTTTATGCAGATTTGAGTCTAGCTCCCACTTGTGTATTCAAAATCAAACATTTAAAAAAGATGATTGTGATGGGTCAGCCCTTAGCTTTCACATGGCAATGCTGCTTTTTGGCCTGAGAAAGCTTTTCACCGTTGCCGAACAAAACTAAGATTACTGTTTACACTTGGATTTAAAATGCGATTTGGTGACATGAACACAGGTGGACGGTTGAGACACATCGCTGTTCACACCTGTGTCTATCACTCATCTCCATCTGACCGCGTGTGGTCTCACTGTCTACCTCACTCCCACAAAGGGCCCCACGCACAGTAACTACATCCACACTCTCCCCAGTCATGTTAGCGGTTGTGTCGGTACAGCTGGAAATATCGCAGCAGAATCCAACATGTCTCCTTCCATATGACAAAAGATGGACCATCAGGCAACCAACTTGCCATAATGTAGGCAAGTTGGTTGCCTGATCGAGCAGCCACCACATCCTTGTGGGGACGCATCAGGACGTATTAGCACTTACACTACAAAAGATATGTGGTGGTCTTGGACCACATCAGCAAGTGCTTTGAGTGATCGGATGACAATGTGTTTTGGTGGTCGTGTACACTTGTATTTAGTGCTGTCCACGTGGGGTGGCTGTGGCTCACAGGTAGAATGGGTTGTCCACTAATCGTACGATCAGAAGTTCAATCCCCGGCTCCTGCAGTCTACATGTTGAAGTATCCTTGAGCACAATATGGAAACCCAAACTGCTCCTGATGGCTGTTCCATTGGTGTTTGAGCTTGTTAAACAGTGAGTAGCAGCTGGCACCTTGTATGGCAGCCTCGGCCACCAGTGCGTGAATGTGACAAAACGCACTTTGAGTGGTTGGACGATTATAAAGGCGCTATACAAGTGCAAGTGCAGGTCCACTTGTGATTGGACACATTTTAAAACTAAGTGTAAACAGGGTTTCAGATGCAACAACCACATTTTGTGGCTGTAATTATTGCAAATTTCATGGCCACAGCCCAATCTGTTGTGAACTGAAAACTCAACCCGCTGGATCAGAGGATATCACCCCTTATCTTCACTTCCATTACTCCCTACACCCTACAACCTTTCCCCCTTCTTCCACATTTCTCACACTGAATCCATCCATCTGTCTCGCTCATCCCCTCCTTTTCTCCCTCCTGTGTACATTTATGACCTGAACATTCAAAAGAGAAACCTCCAGAGAACCATGCAAGTGACTTCTGGTTCTTGCAGATCATCTCTGAGACAAAGCCCCTTGTCACGTTAATGGCTTCACTACTTTCAAGTCCCTCAGTGGGGGAGTCTGAATGAGTATAACACTTTAACCACATGTTAAAGACTGCAGCAACATGTGGCCATTTGCATGATGATGATGTGTGCGAGTTAGTGAGATGGAGGGAGCTATGAATAGAGATGGAGAACAAGTAAAAAGGGATTCAGATAAATAAAGGATGAGGGATTAAAAAGACATTACGGAGGATTTTGTGCTTAAAAATGTTATTTTTGCACAAAAGAAGCACAAACATCTGCTTTTATTTAGTGAATTTCCACATGTCAGTTTTGGTTGTTTTTCTCCACAACAACATTCAACAGCTGATTGTAACTAGACTGTAGATGTTTTGAATATCAAAATCACTGTTTACTCAAGTGTTATTTCTTGACGGTTCTATCAAGAAGAGACAGAAATGATAACACAAGAAAAAATGAAATATAGAAATATATACCCCGCCCCCCCCAGGACTCGTGTCACACCAGTATATCCTCTGATCTACTCCATGTCCCTATCTACTTCCAAGCTTTTTTATGTGAATTAGATCAAAAAAAAAAAAAAAGAAGTGGATTACTCATTCTCCACAGAAAAGGCAAACTGCTTTCCTATTCTTTTGAGCAAAGAAGCCTAAGTGAGAGGGGGAGAGTGTAAGAGTGAGAGTGAATCAGCAGAGTACATTTCAGATGAAGGAGAGTGTTGACAGTATTTATTCAGCTGTGCTAATGTTAGGACATTTAGCGCTGTAGAGGAAAATACTTACCAAAAGTTCTCTCACTTTCACTTACAGTATATTCAAGTGGGAGCAGGCACTCTCTTTTTATACACACACATACCTACTTCTACCACTGTCCATACAATGGTGGAGTGAAGGGTGCATGAGTGAATGCAAAGCTGTGTGTGTGTATGTCCATGTGTGTGTGTGTGTCTGTGTGTGGGTGTGTGTGAGAGAGCGAGGCTTGTAATAGATCAGAGAGAGAACAGTTTTGGTGCACAAAGCAGGGCCAGATGTGGAGCAGAAACCAGATCCCTGGACAGAGTGTAATGGTCCATCCGCTGACTTAACCAATCCAAACATGAAAGACACAACCCCGCGCACACACGCGTGCACACATGCACACAGACAGAAAGTAATTACATGCACTGTACATCCACAACATAATAAAAAAGCGATGATTTGACCAATCAGTGACAAAAGAATAGTGTTCACTTCATCAGAGGGAATTACAAGACGTCAAAAATACACTCTAAAGTTTTTAAAAAGGCTCTGTGAAGTTCAGGGTTATTTTGGTTGGGCTTGCAGCTAGCAGCTAACAGTGCTAACGTCATGCTAAACAATGACAATAGTGCTGACAGAGCTAACAGTGTCAGCCAGGGGGAACTGGAGGGCTGGTGCTACACTTGTGTGAGGATGCTGCTCCGATATCAGCGGCATCAGCAGCAATGTGGTTGCAAGTGGTAAACATACATGCACACGTACATAGAGGGAGTGTGATGTCATTTTCAGCTCAGGACGCTTCTTAAATAGCAAATAGTTGTTTGCTGCTATATAATGCTCTAAATGCCTCATACTGAACCTTAATAAAATATGTTATTTTACAGGAGCCCATTTGCTGTCATATAACACGAGCTACAGAGCATGTAGTCCTTTGAATGCGTGCTCTGTAAACATGGAGACTGTTGGAACAATAGCCTCAGTGATTAACGAAATCCTGACCTTAAACCTAAAAATACTCTGAGATGAGTCAGTGAAGAGGCTGTCCAGTGAAAGGACTAAACCTCACGTGTTTTATTTGTTGTTGTTGTTTGTTCACTCTTCAAATGCACCAAAACCTCGGTGAACATTATCTTTCCAACCCGGCTATCTGAAGGTTAGATACAAACCACTGAGCACTTATATATCCTTGTGGTATATCACAAAAAAAGGCAGAGCATAAAAAGGTCTAAGTAGCAACGTAACATATGAACATGTGCTTTTTGAGTTTTACTATAGTCGTAGTGGTAAAAAAAAAAAAAAAATCCCATTTTAGCAGAACAATCCAAATTTATGTCGAGTCCGTCCTCGTCAAAAGTGTGTGTTTTTAATAAGGCTCTAAATATCAGAACATCCCATTACCCATTATCTAAAACCTTATTATCAGCACCATTGTAGAAATAGACAATGCCTGTCACAGTGAATATTACATTTGAAAATTGAATATTTAAATGAATCCCTCACCTGTGCGACCCTTCTTATCAGTCCCATTGTGGGAAAAGACAATGCATTACATTAAAGTGAATATTATATTTCATCTCCGTCCTGTAGAAATTGCATATTTTCAGTTTAACCATTTCTTCCTGACATTGTCCACTTTGTGCAGAAAATGTTTCTTGACCTTGCAAGCAAATGAACTCACTGATAATGTATCAGTGTCACCACTGCACGGCCAACAACAGGAAAGTCTCAGTTTGAGTGTCACAATAAAATGGCAAAGTTGGACAAGCAAAGTTTTTGCAAGAATGTATAAAGTAATATTTGAATGAAGACCTTGAGGAGGAAACCAATTACCTTCTTTTCAGAGGTGTGACGCACTTGTGTTAGCTCCTGCTGCAGATGCTCCATCTTTTTGTTGGCGTGGTGCAACTGGTCCTGGATCTGCTGCCTCTGCTGTCTCTCTGCATCCAGGCTGGTTTTGGTCTGATCCAGGGTTTCACTGATGTCGCTCAACATGCGCTCACTTGTTTGTAACTGAGTGGGGAAAGCAGAGATACAAAGAAGGGGAGAGAGATGAAGAATAAGTACAGTATGTCTGGTTTGAACCTCCTCCAAAGGCTGAGAGAGGAACAGTTGCAGGCAGGCGGGCAGCTGTAGTGAGAGCTGAGGAGGAGAAGCACACAAGGAGAAGAATGGGTGAACCGTTACAGCAAGATACGAGCAGGAGGAGATGAAAGTATAATTTAGGGACGTTTGCCTCCGCTCTGTCTCCATAGCAGTGAAAAGGAACATCATAAAAGGCTTTGTGCCAAGCTGGGGAACCCTACAGTTACTGCTTTGACTCAGGACCAATAAAAGTGCTCGACTACACATCATAAAGTCGTGAGACACTAACTGTAGTCTAGAGCTTCTTAAACCTTAGGACAAGGCTCACAGAGAGCTGTGGTCCTTTATCTATTTGATCCACCTCACAAAAGAGAAAGGATGTGCTATTATTAACATGGCTCCCTAAAAAACACATTTCTCTATTCGATGTACACCGAAATAACACTGCCAATCTCATGTACACTAGGGCTGGGTATTGGTGCTCAGTACCTTTAAGGTATCATCCGAAATAACCCAGTACCAAGTAGTATAGAAACTTCTCCAGTCAAATAATTTTTGCATTTGATCCTTTTTTTTGGAGAGATGTAGTAAGAAGTGACTACTTGCATGGTTTTGCATGTAGCCAATCAACGTGTTCTTTGATTCGTCGACTACCATAGCAGCTACAAGCCATACAGTCTGTGGTACAGTGAAGTCAAGCACAGGATATTTGACAGAGTTGGCAGTTCAGAGAGCCGAGATGCCTCCAAAACATTTGAAAAAATGGCTGTGCTACATGCCTGTGGCGTCTGGAGACATTTAACACAACTGGATACCACCATTCTCATGATAGGTATCGAAATATTACGTAGAAAATAAAGGTATCAAAGGAAGTAATCTATTGGTATCAGTATCACTTACTACCAGTCTTTGGGGTACACCCTGGACAGGTCACCAGACTATCACAGGGCTGACACATAAAGACAGACAACCATTCACACTCACATTCACACCTATGGGCAATTTAGAGTGACCAAATAACCTGCATGTCTTTGGACTGTGGGAGGAAGCTGGAGTACCCAGACAACCCGAAGAAAACCCATGCTGACATACTGTAGGGATAACATGCAAACTCTGCACAAAAGGGTTCCCCCACCCTAGATTCGGATCAGGAACCCTCTTTCTGTGAGGCAACAATGCTAACCACTGCTCCACCATGCTGCCCTGGTATCACTTACTACTGATCTTGGAAATATCTCTTTAAATATCTTTTGTATAATTAATAGAGCTGTAAAAGTATAAATAATACTGTTACATCTATTACCACTCAGCGCATCTTGTCGGCACACAGTAAGTGAGCTCCTGTTAACCTGTTTCTATCAGCTTTTAAGTCAACTGCAAACCATGTAGCTGCTTTTGTTGGCAAACTAAATCAAACATTCTCTCTATGAACAGACATTATATCAGTAAAAGAAAAGGAAAAATAGAGCAGTTTGAACTAGATTCAAACCCGTGACACAGAGCATGCAAAGTGAGCACCGGCACAAAAACAAATACAGTCTTAAGATGGCCGTTTAAACTTGCTGCCACCTCCAGAGCACAGTAATGATATCAGTAAGGTGACAGGGAAATTGAGTTAGTGTTTGAAAAGTAAGGGTATAAAGTCAGCCTTTAAGAGAGTCTTTCAAGTGTTCCCTAAGTCAAGTAACTAATGCGCTTTTATGTTGAATATACTTTGTTTAGTTGGCTCCTGGGCAGTCGCACCACTAAAACAGTAGTAACAGATGAATGACTTGGCTTGGTCAAGGACACAGTAAATGGGTTAATTTAAGCCTAAAACACATCACTGCCACGCGCCACACTGATATACCTAGAGGGGGGGCGCAAGGAGGAGGTGAAGAAGGAGAAAGAAAGAAATACAGTAGGAGCCAGACAGAGAGAGGAAGAGAGAGAATTATAAGAAAGAGCGGGAAAAGGACAACGAGAGAAACCTAAAGGCCATTCCATTCATCATGCGTATGACTCTTTAATGTTCCCATACATTACCATTGGTTCTCATTGGGGCGAGGGCGAGACCGGACAAGGGAGATGAGAGAGAAAAAAGGGAGACGACAAGAAAGAAAGGATGATCTGAGGAGGAAAATAATGAACGGACAAAAGAAAGAAACAAAAACAACATTTAACCCCTCCCCCACTCTTGCTCCCTCTCATGGCTAAGTGATATTCACACGAACATGGTTCTTTATTGTACAACGAGCCAACCCTCTGCGGAGCTAAGATGGTGGCGATGAGTTATTAAATATGGAGAGAGGGCGAGAGGGGGAAGGCGGAGGAGGAGGGGAAGAAGGACGGATGATTAACTGTGAAGGAAGTAAAAGATGAGGAGAATTCCCCGATGTACCTGACTGGATTTGATTTAGAGAAGGTTGCCCAATTCTGTTCCTTATTTAAGAAGAGCTCCCCTCCTGTGTGTGTGTGTGTGTGTGTGTGTGTGTGTGTGTGTGTGTGTGTGAGAGAGAGAGAGTGTGTGTTACCTACTTTGCTCTGCAGTGAAGCCCAGCTTTCTTTGAGCTGTGCGTTGTCTTGGACCAGCTGTTGTGTGTGTTTCTCCTTCATGGCCAAGGTTCCCTTCAGAGAGTCCTGTGTGGCTCGCAGACCAACCACATCCTGGTCCAGGTGCCTCACATGCTCCTCTCTGTCTTTCATCTAACACACACACATGGACAACAGAACAGCCTGTACTATACATTACTGTACATATACGTACACACTAAGACTACAGCGTGTAGGTTTTACTTGCACTGTGGTTATGCAAACACTGACGATGCAAATAAAAGTAAGCTACGTTAAGCAAGTTAAATGTAAGTTTTGTATTAAGGTTTTTTCCTCCATACATTTTACATCAAACTTACGTATTTCTGACACTATTGTTAATATTTTTTGTCACTTGACTGCACATAAAGATGAACGACATCACAGCTCCCCAACAAGTGAAGCCAAAACATTGCGTGCATTCCGAAACGCATTCGTTTTCTTTTTACTTTTAGTAGGTACTGCAGCAGCCCTTAAGTACATACAATTGCATGTAGTATGGACAAAAGCGGGACATACTACTGTCTCATAACATTACGCCCTGAACATTGAACCTCTTGCTTTTATATCCGTTACCTTGGAGATAAAACAAACGCCACTAACCAAATTCACCAGAGACGAAGATTGACCCGGAGAGCTCTGCTGTTGTTACTTTGTGACGTATGAAGTTTAACTTTAAAGTTATAACTGCACAGATTGTAGATTATAACGTACTATATTTGTGACAGTTAGATTACATCTGACATTGTTATTTTTATAGTTATGTCCTTTTGTTGTTTGTGATATTCATGATTATTTTGTTAAACAGTCAATATTCCTATTAATACTATTCAACTGGTCATCGGTTACTCTGTCATTTGTAATTGTGACATCTGAGAGCTCTCAATCAGCTGTCAAACAGCAGTCATCTATTTGTGGCTCAGCTGATGTGACGTATCGTCCGCTGTGCAGAGGATTGTGGGTCAGAACAGCCAGAAAAGCATGCTTGCTTGCATCCTGTGAAATTGGTCCAGATGTAGTTGAACATCCTGGTAATTTTTGGCATACTGCATTTGGCATACTATGTATTGGGATATGCTAAATCTTTTTCCTGTGTACTAAATAGTATGGTAGTCTGGGTATTGGAACGCACCCTGGCAGCTACAGCGGCTACAGTAAAGGTCTTAAACCCCATCGCCTTTATGTTAGCAGATAGGACATGGGCCACACTAAAGTATCAAAGTAAGCATCAAATATATTTTGTGTCTGTGAATTCAGGTCTTATCCCTCTGATGTATGTTCAAGTGTTCAATTTTCTGCTAATTTTGGTTTTAATTAGTTCTTTGATGCTACAAAAAGGGGGTGTGACATGATGATTGACAGCTTTGCATGCCAACCGGTGTGCTTGCAATCAACAGCGCTACTCGCTATTGGGTTGAACAGGTGCATGATGAAAACTTGACGTCATCAGCACTAGAGATGCACCGATCCAGCTTTATCAGTTTTGATACTGATCCCGATGCTGTGGCTTTGGGTATCAGCCGATACCCGATGCCGATCCGATACCATGGTTGACCTAAAAAGCTATACTTTACATGTAGAACAGAAAAGACTAGAGGCATCAGGCATTGGTGACTACACAGTTCTTTCCTAAGTGCAACAGCAGTTGAAATAGTGTGAAATGCCTCCACACAGCAGATTCTCTCCTTCGTTCCATGACGTATGACGTAGCTCGCATCACAAGAGATTTAAAGGGAAAGGATTGCCTCAGGTATAGGTGGCATTTTCTGATAGTCGATCCATCTATTTTGATGATATCGGGGCCGATATTCGATCCAGATATCGGATCGGTGCACCCCTAATCAGCACAAGGTGGCAGCACCTGTATCTGGAATATTTTGACTTAATTTTTGTAAAGTTCAAGGAGGTGGAGACGCGTCTTCCATCTTTATATATAGTCAGTGTTTTTAGCTGGTTTCACCTCTACATTCGGTCAGTGACCCCCCCCCCCCCAGAAACAGTCACATTGTCTTTTTCAGTTTTGTAAAAATGTTATACACACTAAAAAAGCTAAGATTGGATAAGCACAGAAAAACGTCTTTTGCCAAACATCTTGTAATAGTCTCTTGTGTGTCTCTTGAGCACCAGCTCTAACTGATCACTGTGGGAAGTCTGTCCAACAATGCTTTTGGCAGATGAACTAAAGATAATTCCATGTGAAAACAACAATTTATCATTTTTTGTGTGAGGTCCATTAGTCTCTGATATTTTGTTTGACAAATGTTCAAACTCTTGTCTAACCACTGTTACGTGATATTTATAGCAGCATGTAAAACTGGTATTATTCTTATCATCAACCTCAAAAATTAATATTGTAACTCATCACCAACAACAACAGAGAACACATAATGGTTTTTATGTAGACCTGAAAACTACAAAATACAACCTATTATTGCACATACATTAGTGCTTGAGTAATTATTGGGGGGACAGAGAGTGATTATTTCTAAGGAAGCAGACAGTGGTTGAACTCCTCACCCCGTGCATGAATGTGAGTGTGTGTGGGCCTGTGGTTCAGAACCCCGAGCCAAATCAAAGCCCCTATTCATTAGCACTGTGTTAAATGAGCCCTGTGTTAGATTAGTACGGAGGCTACACAGACAGTCAACACAAATACACACACTTTCAAACGCATTTCCATACACGTTGTGCATACACAAGTGTGTCAGACGGGATGGTTTGGGATCTGAGAGACAGGAGGACCACATGCTGATATAACCACACACACAAACATGGTGGGTATCTGTAGTGCGGTATCTTTCTTAACTTCTGATCTCTCTCAAGCTCTCTTGTCACCTCCTCTAACAGCAGACTGTGGTTCCGGACTTGTGTCTTGGCACGAGCGCAGCCCGCCCCTGCCTCAGTGAGCTCACCACACTACGCAGTATATATATCATCCAACCTATTGTAACGGCGAGCTAAAGGTGGCCTTTTATGCAGTTAACTCATCTACAGCATGGCTAATGGATGGTAACAATTATAAGCAATGGGGCAGCCAGCACCGCGACACTGAATTAAAATTACTCTTTTATCTGGATATTCCACCAATTTTAATGTGACTATTGGGAAATAAAATAAGTTTTACAAAACTGAGACAATAGGGTGTGAATTTCAGAGCTTCAGCCAAGTTCAACACATTACATAAGTGGGCAAAAGTTCATGTTCTCTATGGTAACCCATCAATAGTGCAAGAGGGATTCCAGATGAAAAACGATTATGATGCAAAAGGGCCAATTTTCTGTGCATTTTAAATATTATCACCATCAGTGTTAAACCAAGTTAAAGCAATGATATCTCTTAAAATCCAGCCCATGTAACTGTTTTACTGCACTGTATGACTATGATTCATGTTGATACTTTATATGCAGTAGAAACTGTATACAGTATATCCAAATATTACAGACAAATCTTTCTATAAGTGACACCATTAATCTATATCTTTACTTTTTTTTTTTTTATTTTTTTTTTTTACATAACTTCAAGGTTGTGCGTTTAAACTATAAGCTTAAGTCTAAGGTACTGCCAGTTCTAACCTCAGTGAGTGCAAACAAGAAAGCAGGGCAGCTCTATGAGGACTAAACCTTCTCCAGCGAGATCAACTTTAGCACTTATGTTTAATAACTTGTTAAAGTCATCACTTACCTGTTATTAACATTAACTACATCACAACATGATCAAACCTAGATGCACTTTCTTTCCTCTGAATGACTAAATAAATTAGTATCTACTATCGAGTCATTTGGTCTCCAACACTGAACATGAGAAGTATCTTTTAGGTTTATGTAGCAATATACTGTGGCTGTGATTTGTGTGCAGCAGTCTCCAGCCTTTGTTTTGCTTTGCTTGTTTGGTTTAAGTTTCCTCTGTAAAGAATAAATGTGTAACAGAATCGTTTACAGTATTTTGCTGAAGCAGAAGGCGTGCCGGATGGGTCAGACATTTACACAACTAAATCCCGATCAGGCATTTTTATTAACTGATTGCTTTTTATTCCCAGGTCATCAGATACCAACACTTTAGCCCCATTTCCACCAAGCAGTCCAGTACACTTCAGTTCGGTGCGTTTTTTTCCATTTCCACTGTGAAAAGTTGTGGATGGTACCAATGGGACCGCTCCGTACCGTCCCCATTTTTGGTCACCCCTCTGTTGGGGTACCTAGCACACAGTGCACACTGCAGTCTGTTGATTGGTCAGTAGCGGACGGTCACTCTGCTCAGGGCTGAGTTGTGGCTGGTTTTGAGGCTCATGTAACCGCTGTTAATACCATGGAGTGTTTTACATATATTGGCAGACTGTATCTATAAAATTAAGGATGTTTTGCTGCCTCTCACAGCAGCTGTAGTTGGTGAAAAAATACCTTAATTCACTGGGCCTACTGCCAGCAACTTTTAAGTGTGAACATTTAGTTGTTATGTTACTCAATGCATGAGTTGGCGATGTGAATCCATCAACACACCTTGAATTTCTATATGACAGCTTTGACCATTACTTTAGTTTTTATACACATACACTTTTAGTGATAAATGGATCATTATATATGTATATGTACAGCATTTATGTGTATTAATTCTGACCAGGTTATGTGAACTGCATCTATTTTAATCCTCACATGTAGAAGAAAAAAGCGTTGTTCCTGTGGGCTCCAGCAACACTAAACCCCTGAGCTTGCCTGAGAAGGACTAAATGCACAAACCCACTATTTTTAAATATCCCATGAAGAAAGACGCTAACTGTAGCCTGTTCTATTTTGTTCTGAAAATGTCGGCGTGCAACCCCGCTCTGAACGATAAACGAGATGGAGACTTCCCCGTGTCACTGGTGATAAGGAAATACAATGGGTGCTTGACACAAACAGCAGTCTCCTGGGTGAAAGTCTTGTTTTGTTTGACCCATTCACCTCATCTTCTGACCATCCTGCGCAGATTTTCTTGCTCTTTTTACTATGTCAGTTGCTCTCAGCGTCAAGAATTGCCTCGGATGGGTATACATTGGAGTAAACTGGAGATAGTTTAAAGATGCTAAAGGGTGCTAAATCACATGCCAAGGGGCGTAACAATGCGTCAGTTTTTGATGACCTGAGGATGAGAACAAAAATCCTGTTTCACTCTTCACTGGATGTGTCAGGTAAGCTACACAATATGTTACTTCATTGCTTTGGTATTTTTGCGGCCGTCTCACCTTATGGGACTGTATTCCTCAAAATAATATGTGAAATATGTTTGAATCTGTTTGGAGTAAAGTCTGAGATATTAAGTTTCAAATGTTCAGCCAAAAATATGTATATTTATCTAAATTAATGTGTCAGATCAGGATTGTTAAATTAACAACATTGGTAAGCAAATGATAGAGTCCAACTGCATGTGAAGACTTTTAAGGGTAAATGGGGATAATAATGTTTTTCATTTCTGTAGCTAGCTCTGACTAAGTAAAGCTAGTGAGCACAATGAATGATTTAATAGCTGATGCAGCAGTGTGTGAAAATATTGCCACAATGGCAGCCACATGGCAAAGTGCCTGCAGGAAAACAAAGTACGGCAATGTAATTTGATTTATAATATGGGACTTTGATTTTTCTGACTGGAATTTGATTCCTAAAAAGGCAGCTGGTGGCGTACAGTGTTTAGCTATTTATTCATGGTGGAAGCGATAGTCTTGAGTTTTATTACCAGTGCTATAGTCAGAGCTGTGACAGTCAGACAGTTACTGCTCCTGTAATATTTTTATTTGTATTATCGATTCTAATTTCTGATGAAGATTTTCTCAGATATTCATACAGTATGACGCACTTTCCACAATCCCACCCACTGTGTGGTCACTGCTATCTATCCATGAGGCAGCTAGTTAAAGATCACAATGCCTGTCAAAATCCCTCCTATAGCCCAAGGTCTTTATGCCACTGACTTTCAGAACTCCATAATATTGTTACATAATTAATACATTACGGGGACTTTTCTCATCCCCAAATCTGCCACCATCAGAGATGATTAAAAGTTCCCATGTGGTCTGTGTGAAGTCTTAATTCTCCAGTGGGGGAGTATAGGACCTTGGCTGGAAGTCCTGGAGAAAGAATATCAGATTTTGATTTTATTTCAAATTAGTGCTTAAGCCCTGGACTTTCATATTAGTAGAGTCCCTATTGAGAGAGAAACCTCAATCTGATCAAGTCTCATTACTTTAGCAATTAAGGTTTCACCCCTGGGGTCCTCCCCTCAGCTCCTGCACCCCCCCTCACCTCCTCCTTCTCCTCCTCCTGTCTCCTCTCCTTTATTCTCCCCTCCTAGCCATCATATGTTTTTGCCACTGAGGCGGACGAGAGGAGAAAGGGAGAAACGGCTTGCGCAAATCCTTGATTGGTCAAAGTCTATCCTCCATCTAGGATTACGAATAGAAATGGAACATTTGAGGACAAAGGAAGGAGGGGTGAGATGGGAAGAGACAGAAAGAAAGACAGAAAAAAAAGGGAGAGATTGAGTGTGAGAGAGAGAGAGAGAGAGAGAGAGAGAGATGTGAGTTGCAGAGTTATGGGCACAGAGAGAGAGGGTGGCTAATATAATTGAATTAAAAAGATGAAGCGGGGCCATTTCTAAGCAGGTGGGAGTGTGGAGTGAGAAAGAGCAGGCAAGATATTAACTTCTAATAAAAGAGAGATTAGAAAGTGGCTAGGAGGACTGCTCTGTCTTTACCTGTGGGAGTGACGGCCCCCACATAACCTTTCACTGCAATATGCACACTGATATTGGCCGCCATATTCTGAGCATACCACACACACACACAGACAAATGCATATACACAAGCATACGTGCATCCAGAAGAACCACGCATCCAATACACACACACACACACACACACACACACATATATATATATATATATATATATATATATGTATGTATGTGAAGAAATATGTGACATTTGAGGAGACACACACACACACACACACACACACACACACACACACACAGCCATGAGTGCAGTGTGACAGCAATGCATTATCAGCTCTCATTCAATGATCCAACAGGCGGCAGCCATCAGATAATGAAGACGCAGCTCTTTGGGAAGCCGCTGCTATACAGACAATTAATTAACTAATTGGTCTAACGAGCTCGTTAAAGCCGTGCTTTTTTGGCAGCCGGTGTGAATACATTAACGAGGCTAATTCAATTAAACAGGTGCAGATTTCACAGCTGCCTCTCTCACAGGCACACACACACACACACACACACACAAATCCTACAGGTGTTGTGTGTACATGTTCGCTCCATTTGACTCTGATGTCTTTCTCGGCGAAACCTTGGCATTCGATCAAAAGCATAATGATATGCAGATCAAGTGGTGTGTACTTTGTGTGTTTGTGTGTGCGCACTCCTGTCAGTTCTTGTGCCTCAATGGGCCAGTGTGCCTTTGAATCAAAAGTACAGCTCAATAAGCTGTAGCAGCATTGGTAATCTGTATAATTGAAAAGGGTATAAAATAGGTGGGAGGAAAACTGATTGAAGCGCTATGATAGCGTACTTAAATTAGCTAACAGAATCCCAGGGGTCAAGCAACGATGTTAGCCAAAGCGGCACGATGCAATACAATTCCTGATTTGCTCCAGAGCTTTTCAATATCACACATTCACATCATATCGTACATTCATGCTGGTTCTTGTGTGTGTTTGACAAAAAAAGTCTGCATGTGTAGAGCTTGAAAGAGCCTGTGTCAATTGTTCACTTATCTCTTCTTACAAAAGTTCATCCTAACAAACAAGACTTTGGGCAACTTGCTAGCCACACTGGTCATAAGAAACTGTACTAGAAAGAGATGTGTGTTTGGATATCAGTGTGCAAAAACTTTAATTTTATTTGCAAAACTATGCGGCTGACATCTAATTCATTTATTCCCCTCTTGTCCTCCTCACGATCAAACAGTGAGGAAAATGTGTTTGGAGCCAACAGTCTGCTCAGCAGCCGATTCCACTGTCGCTTTGTGTTACGCTAAACTCAAAGCCTGCCCACTTTTTAGAGGCCAAATCAAAGGCGTATTTGTAAATTAATAAGTTATATCAAGTTATCCGAAATACATGAAGACAACTATGTTTTTCTCACATGGCTCCATGGAAAACAGTGGACATATTGATTCACTGATTGCTGTTTCACAACAGCAAAATAATATCAAAGCATCCCTTTATAAACTCTCACACAACTCGTGCAGTCTCAATTATCCAGTTGTATTCTCAGAACTTCCCAAACACATGCATTAACTCTAAAAAAAAAACGTATCATTATTGGAGGGCAGTATTATTGGAGGGCGAATTGGAGTCTGGCTTTGAAGAGAGCACATTTAAATTGTAGGGTTTTAGCCAAAATGCATGTGTTTGTGAAGTACTGGGTATACGACTGCATAAATGGGACTTGGATTATACTGCACCAGTTGTGTGAGAGTTTGTAAACAGATGTCTTGATATGGTTTTGCTGCTGTTAAACGTGGCCCCCGATCAAATCCATAAATCAAGATTTTCGTTTTTAGTGGAGGCATGCGAGAAAACAAAGTTGTCTTGACGAATTCAAGGTAACACGACATACTAACTGATGTACAAATGATCATTATATGGGTGAAGTTTTCCTTTAGGTCAGAGGTTTTAAATTCATTTAAAGCGACACTTACCTTTCTGGAAATTTTACGCTTTTCTTTGTTTAGGTTAAAATGCTAGTAATAAGCTGATGGTACACTAAAATGTAAGTGAATTCCACCAGAGATAAAAACTCATAATTGTACCATTCTCATATGGTTCTAAGACAACTCCGACCAATCATTGCATTCGCACGGAATGCAATGATTGGTCGGAGTTTTCTCCTGTCCTGTCTGTCTTCCCCACGTGGAGGCCTCCGACAGATGTAACCGCTCTTCCTTGTTTGTTGCCAGTCACCAGTGCTATCTAACGTTAGCGTTTACGTTATATTATAAAACTCATCAGTCATCACTGACCCCAGGTAAGTTTCAAAGCTCCGGGGTTGCCTTTGACTGTGCAGGACATTATATGACAACACAGCATCCAGTTGCTAATGGTTAACGTTAGCCTACTGCAGCGTAGCCTCTGAAACATTAACGTTATCTTCCTTGTGTGTTTCCACTTACTAGTAAGGTTATCGCTACTATCTAATGTTAGCACTGTCATCAGTCATCACTGACTCCTGTTGAGTTTTAAAACTCCGGGGTTACATTTGACTGTCTTTGTTGTAACGTTACACTTGCGCTCCTCTTCCGTGTATCTAACATTACCTTGCCAACGTCAACGTCTATCATGAACGTAACGAAGACGTAATGGAGGAGGGGGGAGTAGGCCTTTGGAGGGAGGTGGAGTTGCAGGAGGAGGGGGGTGGGACTTTGGAAGGAGGCGGAATTTGTGGATGTTCAAATTTTTTCTAAGTGTTGCGTGAAATGCAAGAAAGGTAAGAGTTGCTTTAAGTTCAGGGGCCACATACAGTCCAAAAGTAGTGCAAAATACTGCTGCTCGGATTTGAACTAAAACAAGAAAACATGAGCACATCACTCCAGTCTTGTTCTCACTTCACCAGCTTCCTGTTTGCTTCAGGATTCATTTTAGGATTTTATTGCTTGTTTTTAAGGTTTTAAATGGCACAGCACCTCCTTATTCATGTGAGCTTTTACTCATCCACACACCTGTCAGAGCTTTGAGGTCATAGATCTAGACTAAAAAATAGAGGTGACCGAGCTTTTTGGAATAGTCTACCCGTGCAGATAAGAACTGCTCAGACCGCTGAATCTTTCACGACTTTACTAAAGACGTAACTTTTTTTTTTGGCTTTTAATGTGAGCTGATCTTTGACATCTCGACTCCACATATTGTTTTTGTTTGTTTGCCCTGTGTTTCTGTCTTTGGTCAACTCTGGTTGTTTTTAAATGTACTATATAAATAAAGTTGACCTTGACCTTGACCATGACAATCTTACCTTTCGTCTCTCTTCTCTCAGCTCTCCGGTAAGTTGGTCAATCCTCGCCTCCTTCTCCTCCATCCTTCTCTCAAACAAGGCGCTTAGCTCAGCCCTTAAAGACACCATCTTGGCCTCAGCCTGGAACACAGTCAGGGTTCAGATTCATTCACTGTCACACACAAAGTGGCATGTGCGTTGTTTTCACTCAAAGACCCTCAGATGTGAAAATTGACAGACAAATGATTATGAGTGACATTGTGTGGAATCACTCTCATTTGAAGCAATAAAATGGCAAAAAGTACACACACATCACCCTGAGATTTTTACCATGATTTGATTTTTCACACATTAGACAACACAGATATTGGCCACACACATACAGATGGACAGAACACACAGATTATATGCATATATATTACACTAACGCATCCAAACATAGCCGAGTGGGACTTCTGCTGACACAGGGCTTGTCTGAAGGCGGTGGGCTTATAAGTCTGATGTGTGATCTCTGTGTGTGTCTTTGTGTAAAAATGTATATGCATGGTAATTTGGTGGGTTTGGTTTGTTATGGCAGCAGCTACAGCAGGAGCTCCCTCATAGGCTGACTAAAGCGCTGAGGTCGGTGGTTAGCTAAACTCCCATGGAGATGATACCACTGATTAATTTCCTCCATCTCCATCGCCTCCACCCCCTCCCCCCCCACGATCCATAGGTCCGCCCTTCTTTCCCTTCCCCCAGCCCCTTCAGCCACTGCTGAATATTAAATCAGTCCCTTTTTTAATTTTCAGATAACCACAGTTCATTTTTCTCCAAGTGTCATATATCCATGACAAGGTGTAGCAGCCTATATATTAGGGACGGCTGATGTGAGTTATTGTTATTGTTATCTTTTTTCCATTTACCGCCTGTGAGTGTCCAACTGTACGCTATGCATGGCTAAATCATTACCTGCGAGTGTGGTGCAAATATCGAATTACACCATTAGTAATTTGCAGGGAAATTTCCTATCATGACAGTTAGACACGATCGTGTCGCGGGCTTAACGGCACCACAAGTCTCTGTTTCACCGTGACACAGATATTGCCTGTGGTGTTTGTTTCCTGCTAGTTTATAATGAAGACTGTGTTTGTGTGTACAGGGAGAAGAGGGTGAATCTATACTGCTGTAGTGTGTTTTACAGTGATTTTGATTTTTGCCACTACCACTTAGAGACTGGTGTTAAAGAGGGAACTGACACAGAAGAAATACCTAAGAGCAATTCTGCAGTTTTACAATACATATAGATACACACACACACACACACACACATATACGGTATAGATATAACTCCGTGTGTGTGTGTATTCTATGTGCAAATACACACACAGGCACTATCGCATGCACACATGTGGACACAAACCCACACAAAGACAGACACACACCGTGGGTGTCATCACTCAATGTCCCAGCTGCAAATGAAATCTCATTCTCTCTAACAATCTGAGTAGCCCACTCTGAAATATCTCCCTGCCTCCCTAACCCCACCCCCCCTTACTCATTCTGGATCTCCACTAAATCACACCCAATTTTTCTTCACCAATCTGCACACCCTTTACTTCCTTATCCGAAACACATGCTGACCAGAATCCATGACACACACACACCCTCCTGTGCTCATTTGTGTTTTTGTTGCTGTGATCAAATATTTATGAACCCCTATATTTGCACATAAGTTAACACTTTGCTTCCCAATCACTGGGCTTGGTCCTGCATCCAGACGTGCAACAACAGCTGCTCTCTGTATTTTTTTTTTTAAGCTTTTCCTCTCTTGCATTGTTGTGCCTTCCTATCATCATATTACTCCACATCACCTGCTTGCATAGCCTGGAACCTCGCCCAGGAAACTGGGGAAGTGGGAAGTGATTTGGAAAAATGAGGGCAATAAAAAAAAAAAAAAAAAAAAAGGCACAGGGATGAATGGAGAGATGTGATATAGGGTAATATGCTAACCCAATCAGCAGGGCTGCTGTTTGCCGACAGTATAATCAACATATCGGCCTAATGTCATTACAGCTATATGAGAAATAATATTGCGTGAAATGATATTGCGCGGCGCGTGCATTGCCTGTGTGGTGCACACATGAACGGGTTCATGCGTCCAGATGTATGTATCGCCTGACACTTTGCTGGCACAGGCAGGCCAGCACACACACACACACACACACACACACACACACACACACACACTGTGACACAAAGATGCAAAATTCTGCATGCGTGCACACATGGCACAATAAATAAACTACTTATTCTTGTGTTAAGACTTTCAGTTTTGCTTCCTTACAATGTCGAAAGAAACAAAGAAACGATTAAGATGATTCCACTTGTTCAGGATGATTGATTGATTACATTATGATTGATACTGATTAGATAGTATTATGCTACCCCACTGACAATATGTTTCATTTGTTTGAAGATAAGATTTTAAGAAGTAAACTAGATTTATTTTAAAGGGTTATTGGTTAGATTATGTAAAATCAACATTTTTTTTACTTTACACACACACGCACACACACACACACACACACACACCTGCATATTCGCACACACAGACTGCCCACTGGCCCTGACACAAGAGGATAATAGTTAGTGTGTGGCTTCCATATCCTGAATGCATGAGGCCGCTGATGGCCTCTATTGATGGACACTGGCGTGAAGCCATCACTCAAGTTATGGAGCTTTAATTGGAGACAGCATAAAACGATAAACCAAGAAACATGCATGGCTGAACAGCCCAATGTAAACCATTAATCATAGCGCAGGCAAAGACAAGTGGCCGCCACATACACACATGCGCACACACGGACATGGGCGCACACACACACTCGCGCGCGAGAGAGGGTGCACACAGCTGCAGAAGCACACACACGCTGCCCTTGCACCACACACCTTGCATTTGTGTGCATATTTGCACACGCACACACACTCGGCGTGGCAGAGACAAGTGTCCCAGTCACATATTCTCATGATAGATGACCCATTTAACTTTGATTTCTGAGAGAAATGAGCTCGCCAGCGATACAGGGTTACCACACACACACGTACTTACTCACTCGTTCATAATACGCACACATAGATACCATACATGGGCTACATATATGAACTCACAGTGTACATTTAGTTTATATGTAAATAACAGCATTATTTTACAGACACATGTATTCATGGCCTCCCTCTCGCTCTTTCTCACATGCACACACACACACACACACACCCACATGGTGCCCACTTATTTGCATGAGAAGGGTTATAATATGGGGATGATTTGTGATATAAGCAATCAGAAGTGAAGTAATTCATCAGTGGCGGTGTCTCACACACATCTCCACTGGCCATAAATCCAAATCTACACGCACGCACGCATACACCTGCTTGTAAAAATCTGCACAATCCCACAGAGGAGGGAATAAATCAGCAAAAAGCTGGCAAGAAGGCAAAACCGTTGATAACCTGCACAAATGTGCTCTCACACACATCACACCCTCCACAAATACCTGGAATAAAAAAACAGACAGACATGATATGTTTAAGGAACGCTGGGTTCTACGTAGCCTTCTTTACATCTGTAAAGTGCAGGACACAAGTCACCAGTGCTGTCAGTGTGAGCTTGTTTGTTATGCATTCACTAATTAAGTGCTTTTTACAGTGTCTTACATCTTTTTATACGAATAAATTGAGCTCAGGTTGACTTTGTTTTATTACCTGACTATGAATAGTGACTTTCAAAAATGCAATTCGGCAGTGCCATCTCACCCAGCGCTAACGTGGGATTGGAAAAATATGAAACAGGCTTCCCATGTGGCCTGAAAATGATAAAGAGACAAGACTACATTACCTGTACATTATGTCTGTGATGACATGTAAGTAAAAAGCCATCAAAATGTTCAATAAAGGCAGGGAAACATTCAGAACTAGGTGAGGAGAGAGATTTGTTTTTAGCAGTTGGAGTGGATGGAGATGGCATTGATTCAGAAAGGAGAGGCTGGTTGTGAGGAAATTCTTTGAAAAGATGAAATCTCACATTAAAAAAGGGAAGATGAGAAGTGACTGCTGCTCTGACTAGAGTGAGGAGGTTACTCGTCCAATGGGAAGCGAGTAGAGGAGCTGAGAAAACTCAAGGTCTCAGTGTCAATGGGTTAAACAACTCAGTTGACTGACATGGATCCGGAGTGAGAGAAAACAGAAATCACAAGCATGTCTGTTCTTTTCTGTCTGTACCTTTTCCGTGTGTTTTTGTACAGAAGCGTGGTTGCTGCCAAACACAAAAAGCTTTTCTGTTCCAGCTTCAGTCCCATGGGCAATTAATTTCTGCAAACTGATAATGTTGTAATCCACTCCTTCTTCTTATTTGGTCCTTGATTGCAAATGTTAACACCCCCCAAGACCAACTGCACCCCGCCACAGCCACTGTCCGGTGACATATGAGACAGTGTTGATATTTAGACAGATGGATGGTGCATTAGAAGAATAAAAAAAACCTTCCAAATCCACACAAACAAGGACAACACACACGCACACACACACGTTCCATACAGCAGTTGCAGCCCCTCAGCGCTCCTCTGTCCTCACATGCTTGGTTTCCCCATCTAATTGCTGCCATTCGTCAGTGTGTGCGTGTCCCTCCGTGTGTGTGTGCGTGCGTCTGATGCCAAGCGCTCCTGTACTTTGTGTTTTTGTGCTTCTTTCGTGATTCTGTCACTGTGCATTTACAAACAACTGTGGTGAAAAGACAAAGTAACAGATAGACAGACAGGTAAGAATGGGAAGGAAGAGAAAGACAGAAAGACGCAGAGACAGAGAAACACACACACACACACACACACACACACACACACACACACGTGCACACACACACACACTCACAGAGCTGTCACAGTGCCATAGGGCATACTAAACCTGTCAGCATTTAAACCTGCTGGCTTGTACTCTGGCTTGCCAAGTAGAATTAGTCTCACATAATATGCCAGCCTCTTTATCGAAAGACAACAAACACCTACTTTAGTTACACTATATAAATATGATATTTTAAAGGTATACTTTAATGTTTTTTTCCGATAAAACAAGTATAGACTCATACATCTCAATCATCACTTACGACC